CAAAAGTACTTTTTTAATGGTGTAATCCAAATTCTTTTTTCTACTAAGCTTTGCCTTTAAGTAACAAATACATCTTTCAAAGATTTAAAAATGGTAGTCTGTAAAAAAGGTTTTTTGAATATCTTTTCTTCATTCAGAAAACAGGAGGTAATAGAAATCGATTGAAATAGATAATATCTTTTTGACGTTGCATGGTCTATCACAAAACCTCTTTTTTTCTACTATTCTATACAATTCAAACAGTTCAATCTTTTTGAGTTCCATAATTTTGTAGTAGTACTATAACTTCCAAGATAATGGGCTGTTTTAACAATAGAAAGATGACAATAACATGTACTTCTGATTCTAAAACTCAAATCAAAAACATTGAATCAGGTCTTTTATCTTTCATTTTCACATGAATCGTACTCAATAAGTTTTATGAGTAACGAAAGACAAAAACAAACTTTAACGTTTTCAAGAATAAATATGAGATAAAGTGGTTGAAGTTTTCCTTGATTCCACTGAAGAAACAGATAAGCTGTTTTCTTCTAAATAATTTAAAATGTAATTTACAGAAAGAAGTCACACCCACAAAGTGAATTTGCATGACAGTAAGACATTTAAATATGTTTTACAACATTAAAAAACATGTCATAATCGAGAGAGAGAGAGAGACAATGAGTTTCAGTAGAACATGGAAATCTACTTAGAATTTCATGTTCAGCAGTTTTCTCTTTGAAAGCTTAACATTTCAGACATTAGAAATAATTGTCGACACAAAAGAATTCTTACACAGTCCTTTTCTTAGAGACTAAGTTACGAAAAGTACTTTGTTCATTGTAGTTATTTTCAATGTTCCAATCGATGCCTCACGGGTACTGACATAAGAAGTATAGCACGATCTCGATAGAGTATTCTCACAAAGTTGATCCATTAGTCTATCGAAGTGATATTTTGCTGATCAGTAGGACCAATTGAGACTTAAAACAGATTCAAAATGCTTCCTCTCGTTAGGTCATTCCCATTCTGGATTTATGATTATTTTGTGAGGTGTTCAGCTAATGCGAAGACATTTCTAGAAGAATCTATACTCAGAAATGTTCACTGAGATTTAGTCATAGAATGAGTCGTATCATATTCGTAACACCCTTCAAGTCTCTCTCGATTTTTCATCTAGTAAAACGGTTTTTACAATAATACAGAATGCCTATTCACAACCCACTTTGAAAGAGCTTTTGAATGGTGTACTCCGAATTCTTTTTAATCAAGCCTTGCCTTTGAGTGAAAAGCACATCTCTGAACAACATTAAAATGTTGTCTGTAAAAACGAGATGAGACATATGTTCCTAAACATATCTCTCTGCGCTTTTCTTGAGTTATCAATAATCTATGTTTGAAAAGCTTTTTTACTCAGCAGTCAGTCATTTCTAATGACCGATATTTGATTGTTCAGTAAAAAGTTGTGTTCAGTATAGTCTATAATTGCAAAGTTCACTAATTGTTTTCTAAGAATCCTTTTATTTAAAAAATTCAAACCACTTATACAGGGTGTTCCAAAAGTCCGCTCGAAAGAGAAACGTGATTATCTCTGTAACTGTTCAAGTGATTTACTTGATGTTTTTATAGTTTCATTTCATATTCATTAAAGTTTTATTTCATATAAATTTGTCTATAACAAATATACCAAATGATTACTTATAAATGCAATACTCAAACTTCCCCTTTGCAATATACCTGTAAGAGCACTACGTAAATTTTTATTTTAAAAATTCCTATAACAACCGTCAGGAGCATGTTAAAATATAGCGACATAGTTGAGTGAAAAGAATTCATATAGAACTATTGATATTTTTATGCAGTCTTTGAAAGACAACATCTACGTTACAATGTTAGGAAATCGACTGTTGGAACAGTGTCTTTTGCAGTAACATATTCAAGGAAAATAAAAAAAACTTTTATAATCCGTTTAGTCTTTCTTCTATTCTAGAATTACGAACATTATGCTAGATGAACCCTATAGTATTTTACCAAGATGAAACTCTTCCACATTTTAGCCGTGGAGTCTGTAATTTTTAAAGAACATCTCTCCAAACAAGTGCAATAGGTCAGTTGGCCTGATGTGACTCGATGATTTTTCTTAGAAACATTTTTGCAAGACATCGGTTAGAGATCTCATTAAGTTGGATATGAAAATTCATAATAAGGTCAAAAGAAAAATTTGCGTAATGTTTTTTACAGATATGTTGCAAATGGGAAGTTTTTGAAATGAAATTAGAAATACCTCAAGTAAATCGCTTGAACAGTTAAAGAAAGAATCACGTTTCTTTTTCGAGCGAACTTTTGGAAACATCCTGTATAGAGATAAACATATCGGCAAAGAAATGAACGAAGTTCATAATACTTTTTTCATTTGTTAAACAGAAAAGAAACAAGTAGATGCACATATATACAAGTGAATTGCAACTTTTGTAGTACACGGTAATAGTTTTCCAACACTTTATTCTTTTTTTGGTGGAGATATAAGATACTTCACCAGAAATACACTGTTGACTATACAAAGATCAGCATTGATTCACTGAAACTCAGCGTAATAAAGCTACTTTATATTTGTTTCAAAGAAGAAGTTCCTTCTATCAACTTGTTTTCCGCCAAACACTTCAAGAATTTTTTTATTTCCATATAATTTGATAGAGCATTGATTAGTCTATCTAACATAAAATATAGTATGAAGCTATTTCGAATAGTGGGAGAAACGTAGATTTTACTGCCGGAATTTTAAACATCTTATTTATCAATAAAATAAAAAATTGTTGCTCTATTCAGTCATATATTAATGGGCAAAGATTATGATAATTACATGACTAAAAGCTACTCGATCAGAATAAATACTTCAATTTTTTACATCAATTGTTTGGTGAGAAAACCAAGACAGTATACAGAGAAAAAAAATGTTTTTTTCCTTCATTTCTCAAAATTCATCTAGTTTCTTATCAAGATATGAAACAAATATCGTTCGTCGGCAGGACTGTCTGAACCTTCGACGGAATTCAATTTTGTTATCATTTTCTCTGTTCTGCTTTAACAATTATTGTGCAATACATACACAGACGAAAATCTATCTATAGTATTTTCATTGACGACTATTTTGTAAAAGAGTTTTACTTAATCAAACATCTCGCAGTGCATTGTCATGATTGAATTAAACTCATGCACTAATTCTCTTACAACGTAGTCTGAGCATATTTGTTCTTTCTCTCAAATTGGCCATAAACCTTTTGGTCGACGTTTCCTTGACTCCGACGTTCTTTTGACTCTGACACAGAAACGTATGTTATTTCACATGATCCTTCCTTAAGTCAAGGAAATATCGTTAATTTCTCAGAAAAAAACCCTTTCCTGAACCTAAAAAATTCAACTCAAAATTATGCGAAATCGACTTTCGTCGACTGTTATGAAAACAAATTCACCTTTTTTGTTTTTTTACCCTGCCACGAACAGACAGACAGACAAACTCTTTTCACATCAGCCTCCCTACAGTCGAGGGAACAAAAAAATATACGTTTACAGCATAGCTTTTAAATTAATATAACTGATAACCGTGTTGGTTTTCTCGATAATCTCAAACAAAAAACCATAAAAAACAACGATTTGAAACCTGAATGGCGTTGAAGAATGCTTGCCGGAAAAAGGCATCGCTTCCGCGAACCGTGATTAGCTCAATTCTGAAGTAAGAAAGATTATTTGGTGCACTCAGTGGTAGATTATTGATTGAATTGACATCCCACATTGTGATCCTCGAATTCACTGATCTTTAGAAATGATTGATGGACCCGAGTTCTCAGCTCTCAAGCACATTAAGTCCAACTTTATCAAAAACCATGATTTCCTTCAAAAAACCTTTCTTCAATGAAAAAATCCATTCGAAAATTTTCAAAAACCAATGCCACCAATCAATTTGTCGACGTCGAAAACCTTTAGTCAAAGTTCACAAAAATCATTGTTTTCCTTGAAAAAGGGTTCAAAAAAGTGAGCTCCACATGTAAACTCCAAACATGGAGCTCACTTACCCATTCACCATATCCCAATAAAACACAATCCATGTTTTCAGGTTGATCGCAGTAAGATCGCATTCCACTGAGATACTAGCTCGAGAGTTATAATTAATGTTCACTAGACATATAACCTGACATATTAGCGCATCAACTTGGATGCTAGTAGCATCACCTAGGATGCTATCAACATTTCAGGTGATGCTACTCGCACTTCGAGTGGCGCTAATATCCTTCCAAGTGATGCTACTAGCATCCCAAGTGATACTACTAGCATCTCAGTTGATGCTACTAGCATCCCAAATGATCCTCCTAGCATCCCAAGTGATGTAACTAGCATCCCAGTTGATGCTCCTAGCATACCAATTGATGCTGGTCCCATCCCAGGTGATGCTACTGCCATCCGAGGTGGGTCCTAAAATGAGCTCCTAATTTTTAGTTTACCTAGTTTGGAGCACAGTTTTTCTTTGAGCTAAAACAAGCCATTTTTCACTAAAGCATCTATCTAAAATTTTTCAAAAACCAATGGTACCAATCGATTCCTCAACCAAATAAAACTTTTCGTCAAGCTCTACCAGAGTAGATGTAGAAAAGAAGTGAGCGTTATCGTTTCAGACAATGTTTTTTTTCAATGCCCCTTGGAAATGATATAGAAAGAAAAAGATTGCTGAATTTTTGATGAAACACAAAAAATTGATGAGCATGAGAAGAGAAAGAGAGAAACAAGAAAGAGTTATCATTTGAAAGGACACTTCAAGCTCTGCCAAAAAGGACTACTCATTATCTTTTTTTCTTTATTTTCATGCTTGCAAAATTTTGTTTTCTTTACACTTATGAACTCGTATATGGAAATCTCCTTAGAATTTTGAAAGCTTAACATTTCAGATATTAGAAATAATTGTCGACACAAAAGAATTCTTACAAAGTTCTTTTTTTAAAGACTAAGTTACGGAAAGTACTTTCTCGTGCATGAGAGACAAAGATCTCTTCGATAATGACGATTCATTTTCTCTGTTCATTGTAGTTATTCCCAAATTTCCAATCGATGCTCGATGGTCACCGAATGGAAAGACAGTTGCTGGAGGTAACGGATATGGAGAGGGCACCAATCAACTCTACGAGCCTAGCGGTCTCTTCGTTGATGCTGATCAAACGATGATCATTGCTGACTGGGGGAATCATCGTATCGTCCAATGGAAGATGAGGAATACGAATGGACAAGTTGTAGCTGGTGGCAATGCCAAAGGAAAGCGCTTAGATCAATTGAATGGGCCAATCGATGTGCTAATCGACAAAGAGACTGATAGTCTCATTATTTGCGATGCAGACAATAGACGAGTCGTACGATGGTCTCGTCGTAGTGGCACAACTCAAGGAGAAATTCTCATCGACAACATCGATTGTTGGGGATTGTTCATGGATGATAAGAGATATCTCTATGTCTCTGACACCGAAAAACATGAAGTAAGACGATATCAAATAGGAGACAAGAATGGAACTATCGTGGCTGGTGGAAATGGCAAAGGTGCTGGTCCCAATCAACTCAACTGGCCGACCTCCATAGATGTCGATCAACAACAGACTGTCTACGTGTCAGACAGAAACAATCATCGTGTAATGAAATGGAATAAAGGTGCAAAAGAAGGCATTGTTGTCGCTGGAGGTCAGGGTGAAGGGAACGCTCTGACACAATTGCGGTATCCTCAAGGACTCTTCGTCGATACGTTGGGTACCCTCTATGTGGCAGATTCGGGAAATCATCGAGTCATGCGTTGGCCTAAAGGAGCAAAACAGCGTACTGTTATTGTGGGTGGAAATGGTGAAGAAGCAGGAGCAAATCAGTTCAATTCGCCCATTAGTTTGTCCTTCGATCGACAAGGCAATCTTTATGTTGTCGATAAGAACAATAATCGTGTTCAATTTTTTTCATTTCAATAAAATGCATTTGAATCGAAAAAAAATTTTTTTAAATTTCTATTCACGCGCGCGCGCGGCCAGGAACCATCCTGGTGAAGCTGTGGCGAGCGTAACGCTCGTACACGCGCGGGAAGACCCGCATCATTCACATGCACCCATCCGGTGACATGCGTCAGTGAGCCTGGAGCCCGATCGTGTTGCCACAGACACAAAGACAGTTTCTGGCCGGTGTTTAAGGTATATCCTGAAGACCTGATATAGTACGAGACCTTAACTCAAACTCAATAAGAAGAGAAAAACAAATAAATAATTACTCACCTTTCCTTGACCATGTTAATGGCTGAAACGAAAAAAAAAGAAAATTAATACATATAGAAAGAGAATTAG